ATATATATATATATATATATATATATTTTAAAAGAGAGTAAAAGGATGGAGGCAAGAATTGACCTAATTTTCTGGCCTTAAATTTAGAAAAATACTTCATATTGGCTTATAGAGGTATAATTATGAAAATTATTTTAATACATATAAAAAAGATTTTAACAGTCATTTCCTTTCTTCTTCTTCTTCTTATTTGTGGTGGTAGTGCTGGGGATTGAACCCAGGGCCTTGTGCATGGGTGGGAAACACTCTACTAACTGAGCTATATCCCCAGCCCTTTAATTCCTTTCTAAAATTCAAGTACAAAGGCTGGTTCTCCCTCATACTATAATTTGAATAAATGATGTAATTTCTCAGAGCTGGCTTCCTCATTTGTAAAATGGACATAGTGTTTGACAGCATGGTTGTGGAAAAGGAAGTAAGATAACATAGGTGTGAAAATGCTTTACGATACAGTAAGCGCTTTGCTTAGTACATGCATGAGATTTAAGTTGTGGGGTTATAGAAGAGTTTTAATTCTTATTTAAATAAGGAGTTACAGTATCACCTAGAGCATTTAGCACAGAAATATATATATAAAAATAGCAAACACCTTATAAAACTTTCTCTATATAAATTTATGTTGATTTACCTTTTTTTTAAAAAATATTTTTATTAGCTATTGAAAGATCTTTATTAATTTGCTGATATGTGGTGCTGAGACTGAACCCAGTGCCTCACACATGCTAGGCAAGTGCTCTACCACTGAGCCACAACCCAGCCCATGTTGATTTACCCTTCAAAATTTATTTAAATAGTTCAAAAATGAAGACAGTAAAGGGATGTGTCAGAAGTCTACCATCTCTGGCCCTTTCCACCTTGTTTCCTTGTCCTACTCTTTATGGAGAAACATTTTTGTTTCCTGCCAATATTCTTATACAAATGTGAAAAAAATATGAATACGCATCCTCTAAGCACTATCTTATTTGCAGTGCCATTGTGAATTCTGACAGCATGTGGTTAGTTTTCAGTAGCCAAGAAGTAAATGGATCAGTTACACAGCAATCACTAAGCTAGGACTCAAATCTAGGCTTGCCTGCAACTACCTTTGGGCCCGGTGAACTGTGAAGTAGGGTAAGTCTTCCAGAAAACTGTATATAGAGCTGTGTTCTTAAAAATATCTGCTTTTCAGGTTGGTGGACCAGACAGTAGCCGACTGACTTCTCGTCTGGGGAACCAGTATGTGAATATCATGAATATGCTTCTTTTCACACTCCCTGGAACTCCCATAACTTACTATGGAGAAGAAATAGGAATGGGAAATATTTTAGCCACAGATCTCAATGAAAACTATGATGCTGTAAGTTTAACACAATTGAATCATGCACCAGAGCAGTAAAATCAAGTCCTAGTCCTTTTGCTAAATCAGAGATTTTACTTTTCTATTCCATCGCGGCAAATCAGTTACTTTGCTTTTCTTTCTTTGTGGTTAGTAAGAATCATGAGCTTTCTTGTTTTGGGAGCTGTTTTCTGAGCTGCACAATTAAATTTATTGAGCAGAGTCAAGTAATCTGCATTCTAAAAAGATTTCAAAAAAATTATTTTGGTAGCAGGGATTGAACCTAGTGGTGTTTAACCACTAAACCACACCACTCCCCTTTTTATTTTTTGAGATGGGGTCTAATTAAGTCATTTAGGGTCTTACTAAATTGCGGAGGCTGGCCTTGAATTTGTAATCCCCCTGCCTTAGCATCCTGAGCTGCTGATTATAGGTATGTAGCACCACACCTGGCAAGGAATCTGCATTTTAAAGATGTTTTCTAGCTGATTCTTAGACACCAGAATTTGAGACTGGTGGCTTTATTTGGAATATTATTCTTTTCCCTTTATCCAAAACATGGCAAGCTAGGAATATTTCTTCAATCTTTATTTGACCTGCTAGATCTAATAACTGTTGTAGTCTTATATTATCCAGTGTTTAATCTAGAGCCTCACAGTTAGCTTTACTTTAAGGATAAGGCTCTCAAATTGTGTTGCTGGCTAGATGACCAATACTGAACCTTTAATTTGTATGAGATCCCGTTCCCTAATACTTGGTTAAGGTAAAACATCTTCTCTGTCAGCTTCAGGATTATTTTTTTGCTCATGGGCAATAATAAGGCTGGATAAATGAGTTCAGGCTTGCTTGTACCAGACAGTATTCTTGAATTTGCCACAACTTTACCACAGAGAACATAGCATGAATCCATAAGGGCACATTTAAAAATCCCACATTTCTCATTTTTCAGAAAAAGCAGCAAAGATTCTAAGCATGTTAAGGTTTATTTATTATGGTCTATTCAATCTTAAGATATTATTAGTTATTTCCCAATTATGAGCTAAAACTCGTTTATGTATTGAATGTTAAGGCCTTTTCATTATGAATAATGAACATACACATTAGTTAAGAGCTTTAGGGAATTAAAATCATTAGGTAAATCAGGAAGTACCAAAGTATCTTTCTTTTAATAACCTGACCATTGCTTTCTCTTCCTGGTCTCTTTAACACAGAATACCCTTCTCTCAAAGTCACCAATGCAGTGGGACAACAGTTCAAATGCTGGGTTTTCTGAAGGCAATCACACCTGGTTACCCACCAATTCAGATTACCATGTTGTGAATGTTGAGGTGAGTATCAGTGAAAATTTGTTGATTCTAGAAACAAGAAATGAGTTTTTGTATTGACAACACAGTCATTCTGAGTATGTCTAAAACCTTAACTGATACTCTTTAAATCTGTCAGAGACTTCCCTTGCAGGGACACAGAAACACTTTAAAAATAAAAATATAGCAGGCAAATAGTAATAGAAAGCAAGCTTACAACTTAGCTGTCAAACAACAAGCTGGGTGCGATGGCACATGTCTATAATCCCATTGATTCAGGAGGCTGAGGCATGAGGATCCCAACCTCTGAGGCCAGCCTTAGCAATTTAGTGAGGCCCTAGGCAACTTAGTAAGACCCTATTTCAAAATAAAATAAAAAATAAAAAGGGCAGGGATGTGGCTCAGTGGCTAAGTGCCCCTGGGTTCAATCCCCAGTACCAAACAAAAACTATATATATATAATTTATATATAAAATATATAAATGTATATTTATATATCCTATATATTATTTCTATATTTTAAATGTATTATTTAAATAAATACATATTTTTTTGAGTACAGGGGATTGAACCCCGGGGTACTTAACCACTGAGCCACATCCCCTGCCCTTTTTTTCTTCTTTCTGATGCTGGGGATTGAACCCAGGGCAAAGCAAGCACTCTACCAATTGAGCTATGTTCTCAGTCCCCCAAGTACTTTTTAAAATATTTTATTTAGAGACAGCGTCTCATTGAGTTGCTTAGGGCCTAGCTAAGTTGCTGAGGCTGACTGTGAACTTGTGATCCTCCTGCCTCAGCCTCATGAGCTGCTGGGATTATGCTCAGCCAAAAATGTATTTTTTAACCTAATCTTTCTATTCTTGAGCCTCATTTGCATTCGTGCAAAATGAGAAATATGTAAGGATCTTGACTGAAGCATTGTTTGTATTAGCAGAATACTCTAGAATGATTTAAATATTTTATCAATAAAAAAACCAGTTTAATCAATTATGGGACTAGTAGGTAGCTTTTAAAATGAGAATATGAGAATAGTTGCAGTGATCTGAGACCGTTTCTAATATGTATTAAATGGTATAGAAAGTAACTTGCCACCAGTTATGTAAAGAAAAAAATGTCTACCTATGATTGCATAGGCACAGAATTATTTCATATGATACATTAAAAATGAAAGACTACAGTTAATAATGTCTGGGAGGGAAGCTCGGAAGCTAGGCAATAATGGAAGAAAACCTTTTCATTGTATACATTGGTCTTGTACTTGAGTTTTATACTGTGTACATGCATTTCTCTAGTCAAAAAATGAAGTTATGAAAAGCAGGTTTGGAAATATTTAATAGCAGACAAAATAGAATTCAATATGAAAAGCATTATGAGACAAAGGCAATCAATTTCCAAAAATTGAAAAACAATAACAGTCCACTAAAAATTATGAATCTTTATGTAACAGTAGCTTCAAAATATATAAAACAAATACTCTGAGAAATGCAAAGAGAAAATTGACAAATCCATAATTACAGGAAGAGATTTCAAATTAGATAAAAATAGTAGCTGACACTGAGCACTTCTTATGTGAGCGGCACTGAACTATGCTTTTCATGCATTATCTGCAGCTACAGAAAATGTTAGTAATAACTTTGACAAGTCATATACATGTACCATAAATAACTTTTATACCTGATAAACAAAGAATACACTTTTTCCCCCAAAACACCCATGAGATATTAATTTAAGACACATAATAAGCACCCACTTCTAAACAACAATAACAACGGTAACTACCACCGCAGAAAACATGGCTGGCAAGAGTACAATGAAATGAACATTGTTGATTTGGCAACAGCTCTTATGAAGAATAATTTGGCATTATGTATTGGATGTCCATACTCTTTGACATAGTAATTATCTTCTGGTAATCTATCCTAAATAAATATTCCTAAAAGTTGGGGGAGGGGAGTGAAATTATAAGAAAATATTGGAAATGCAAATATTAAGATGATATTTATGGAGGTTATATGATAGGAAAATGCTTAAAATGTTAAAAGGGGAAAAAAGCAAGAAAAGTACATTGAATTATATATGTTTTATATAGTTGTAATATAAACCTAAATCTTTAATAGACTTATACTGCCTTTTACTGTTAAAAAAGAATTTACATTAGCTAACTTTCACTTTAGGCAGATTTGTGTGTGTGTGAATGTGTAATTTTCTGTTCTATCATTAGTTATGCAAGAACCACATCTGCTGAAGTTACAATGATCTCTGCACAGTAGCAACTTACGTGATCCCACAAGAGAGGATAAATAAGCCCTAATTCATCAGAAGTTCTAAATCCATTGCCTTAATGGCTTTTTATCTCTCCCAGGCGTTTGGCAGTTATAATACAGATAGAGTAACTTCATTTAGGCAAGTTCAGTATCATTAACTTAGACATGGACATTTGTTCGGGAATCTTGAGTGGAGTCAAAGTGTTTCTGCAACAGTTCTAAGATGGAGCACAGCAGCAGCTCCCAGTTAAGCTCAAAACCTGAATTTTGCAATTTTGATTGGCTTTTATATAAACTATTCTTATGTACTTATTAATGCTTATAATTTGGCAGTTATTTTAAGGGAAAAATAAAGCAAGTTTTGGGGGAAATAATTCCTTTAGATAATAAAATATTTTTTAAAATTATTGTAATCAACCATTTATGTAAGTGTTCTTTTTAAAAAATAGGTCCAAAAGACTCAGCCCAGTTCAGCCTTGAAATTATATCAAGAATTAAGTCTACTTCATTCCAATGAGTTGCTCTTCAGCAGGGGCTGGTTTTGCCTTTTGAGGAATGACAGTCACTCTGTTGTGTACACAAGAGAGCTGGATGGCATAGACAAAGTCTTTATTGTGGTTCTGAATTTCGGAGAATCAACACAGCTAAATCTACAGGAAATGATTTCAGGTCTTCCTACAAGACTGAGAATAAAATTAAGTACCAATTCTACCTCCAAAGGCAGTGAAGTTGAAACACATGGCATTTTTCTGGAGAAGGGAGATGGAGTCATCCTGGAACACAACACGAAGAACCTCCTTCATCACCAAACTGCTTTTAGAGATAAATGCTTTGTTTCCAATCGAGCATGCTATTCTAGTGCGTTAAACATATTGTACAGCTTATGTTAGGAATCTCTATGAAAGAGATGGGGACACTGGTATTTGGTTGTGTTGTAACTTCAAGTATAGCATGCTGCTGGGTAAACTTCATCTAATACTTAAGATATTTTGTTAGCTTGAATGTAACTACTTTAGGAAAGGTTCTCAAATGTTTGAAATAATAATAAAATGTTTAAAAGAAGATTGTTGCTTGTAGAAACTTTTAACTTTGAGATAACATTGATAAGCAATGATTAGAACACTGTCAATCCTAAGATTATTTGAAAGCTCTAAAGCATTTAAATGACAAGAATGTTTAGCTTTTTTATTAAAATGTATTCAAAGAAACTCGAAGAAAGATTCAATGTCCTAATGTCTATAAATATTCACCAACAAAGAGGAAGGACATCGATTTGTAAACTGTTCAAAGAAAATCCTAGTAAAACAGATAAGAACAAAGTACTGATTGGAAGGGAGGCCTGGGATTCTACAGCCTCCACTCTTTTCCTCATTCTTTTTAGAAGTGGTTGGACACAATACCTTTATTTTATTTATTATTTTTATGTGGTGCTGAGGATGGAACCTGGGCCTCACACATGCTAGATGAGCGCTCTACTGCTGAGCCACAACACCAGCCCCTTCCTCATTCTTTCCTCCATGTCTTTTTAAGGAACATGGTTTAAAAACTGCTTTCCCTATGCTAACAGGCATGTACACCAGTGGAAGAGAACAGTATAGCAATTGTAATACAGACTTTGCAAAATCTGGATGGAGAAGCAACTTTAAAAAAATCACTTAGTAACTTAAAATCTCACTTTTGCTACTAACCCAATTTGGAAATAAGACTATGAAATATTTCAGAGTGTTTCCAATTCCCCGTTGAATGTAACATTTCAAAATTTCAGGTATTTCTTAAGATCCTCGAAAACACTGGTGCTGTCAAGTCCAAGTTCCTCATATAGGAATTTAATCTGGGCTGTAATCTAAAAGAAACACATTTTAATATTAGATAGAAGGATTTTGTGGTAAAATTCCAGTGTTGTGATTCTTTCTTGGTTTATCCATCTTCACCTCACCCTCAAGCCAGCAATTTATGGCAGGGATACTTCTATTTGGGATGGAGACAAAGGCTTCCAATGATCAGGATTCAATTACCTTCTTTAACAGAGCTCCTTTATCAAGTACAGGAGAGAACCTTTTCTCTTGCTTGACTGTGACCCACCCTCCCCTCCTGGGTCTCAGCTAGACCTGATACTTATGAAGTAGCTCTGTCATAAACCCTGTTATAACCACTGAAAACTTTGAATATATACTTCTCTGTGACCAACTGAGAAGGGCTATAGAACATACCTTTTTGTGAGAATCTTCAATCACATGATTTCCTCCAGGCTGAATATCTAAAATAATATTGGGGGCCTGATAGCCTGAAAGAGTTAACATATCAAACAATTAGGAAGTCTTTAGAAGATTGAGACACATTTCTTTCCTTTCTTTCTTTCTTTTTTTTTTTTTTGTACCAGGGATTGAACCCAGGGGTGTTTAACTGCTAAGCCACATCCCCAGTCCTTTTGTCTATTTTATTTAGAGCCAGGATCTTGCTGAGTTGCTTAGGGCCTCACTAAGTTTCTGAGGCTGGCTTTGAAGTCACGATCCCCCTGTCCCAGCCTCCCAAGCCACTGGGATTTCAGACTGGTGAGACCCATTTCTTCTCTTTTCTTTTAAGTACTTTATTCAAATAATAGTAAAGGAATAAGGGCAAGACCACCATAACCACCACTAAAGAGAGGGGAGGGGCAAGCAGCAGAAGACAAGTTTCTGAACTAGGGCAAATGGGAAAAGACCCAGTGGATAAGATAGCTGGATGGAGGGGCCGTGGCACTATATGGAGAAAGATGTGACTGAGGAGGGAGTCAGCAGCTCTGTGAAACTGGAGAGACACTGACTTATAGGTAGGTTCCCTTGGCATGTCTTGGCATTCAATTTCAAGGCAAAAAGGAAAAATTCTTATTTAATAAAAATGAAAAGAACCATCTAGAAGAAACTAAACAGCTAGTTTGGGCACTAAAGCTCCAAAGCAAAACTCTCAGAATCTTTCACAGATTCCCAAGAATAATATCTCAGTGGATATCTTTAAATGAATAAATGATTGCATGAGAGTACATTTCTAAGTTCCAGTTGATATTTAAATTTACTTTTTCTTTCTGTCCTTTGAAAAGAGGTGAGGCTATTATTACACTTTAGCTGTGTAATCAACAGAAAAAAAATGATTTGTCCTCAGTCATGGTCTGATGATTTGGTCTGAAGCTTGAGATGTACTCTGTATGTTAAGGGTTCTAGTCCATCTAGCCACATTCCCTAGGTCCTGGAGTCTCCTACCTTCACCTGTGTTCTTAGTATGTTCCATGACGGCTTCCTTCAGTTTCTCAGTATAGTTAACAATTCCTTTCAGAGGTACACGTTCATCGTTTTCATAAGCTGTGATGTGAATTGAAGGATAATGCTAAAAGAAAATACACGTATTAAGAGTTCACATTACTCCTATGGTCTCTTCCATTAGATCATGAAAAAATAACTGCCTCCAATTTTTTCCCAAGTGCTAGAGGTTTTTTCTCATTTAATATTCTTGAGTGAGCCTATTTGTTACCTAACTTATTCTTTTCTGAAGAGATCATAACTTCATCTCATCTAGTAATTAAGGTATAATAATTATTTTCCTGAAGTATTAAACTGAAAAGACGGAGCATGAGCACAATGGTGCTGAAAGATGTTTGGGTATCACAGTGGAGACATCTCTAAAACCCCTGCCTACTCCTGCCTCATCACAGGTAAGCACCCCTTTACTTTCTCTATTACGTCAGGACAGTATTTGGCAACCACATTTTTCCTACCTGAGGTTTAATATTTTGATAGGGGCAGTAACGTTTTATGTAGTTCTTGTGCTTTTCATCAGATGAAGGATTCCCCCACTCTTCTAGTTCTTCTAATGTCAGAGGAAGTGTAGTGTCCATCATAGTGTTGAGAACATCCAAGAAAGGTGCCTAATAAAAAAAGCCAAAGAAACTTCTTTTTCTTCTAAGGAGTTGGCAATGTAAGTTTCAGAAAAATATTACTTTAATAAATATGCATACTGACACAAGAGAAATATCTCAAGAAGCCATGTGGATTCCCAGAAAATTTGGAAAATATCCAAGGTAAGAGAAAATGACCACTGACTCCTTGGTTTACATGCTTTTCAGCTTTTTCTCTTGCTACCAGTCACCACAGCTAATGGGCTCATTGCTAATTCGTGTTGGCTGCCGAGTCTCTAAATGTTTTTTCCTGCATTTGGAAAAATGCCAACCTTATCGGACACAACCTGTCTCTCACTGTAGAGATACTAGATGTACCTCTTTCTTTTTCCCTGAAGCTTTAGAGTAGCAAATTATGTAGGTGTCACAGACATGTGTTCCAGACTGGAAAATCCATGATTTAAAGAAGTGCTGATCAAGGTGAATTTCTTTGCAAAACTGTGACATTGTCTCCAGTTTGTAGAAGCTGCACTGTTAGAGGGAGGTGATTTGTGCTTCGCAGTGGCAATAGTGGCAACTCTGTTGGGCAGTTCTGTATCTGCCTGGCAGCCTCTGACACTGGTTCTGAACACACATACTCTGACCTAATACCATTTGATAAAACTCCTTTCTGCTTGAATCAGTTTTTGGTGCTTGTTATTAAGAACTTTGACTCATACATGAATCCTCCACTGTTGGATGTTTTAGGCTGACTAGTTCTTCACTAGGATAAGCAACCTGGGATAAATCCCTATACACACATATTTCTGATGGTATCCTTTCTAATATCTAAAAATAAAGGTTAGTACCATTTTCTATATATTGTAAATGATTCTGCTAATACTATCTTCGGGGATAGCCCCTCGCCCCCATAATTTAGTGTAGCTGTGCATTTTTAAAACAGATTTATAGGGCTGGGAGTATAGCTCAATTGCAAAGCACTTGTCTAATGTGCACGTGGCCCTGGGTTTTATCCCCAGCAATGCAAAAAGAAAAAAAGAAAGAACTTTGAAAATAGATTCATGGATTAGGGCTATTTAAAACTTATTTATTTATAATAAGCCCACACTGTATACCCTTCGCTCTCAATACAACACTGAAAAACCCCGAAAATAATTTACTTTCACCATTCCAGTCATTATTTTCCAGAGTAACTAGGAAACAGGAGAATGATAGAGGTAAAATCATATAGCTATAATATAGCTTAATAATTCTGAACACTAAGACAGCAGAGCATTTTCAGAACAGAGTATTTCAACTAAAGTACAGGAAAACTATACCTCAAAGACCATTAAGAATGTAATATTTAAAAATAGCCCTTAAAATCAGTACTAAAATGTTGATGGGCAGTGACTGTTGAACTGACTAGTACGAGTCACAGGGTACACAGCATTTGGTCACAGTTACCCCACCCCCTTGTGGAATTGTGAAGCACAGATGCTTCATCTTTTCCCCACCAATTCTAAATACTCAAAGAGAAAATGGTCAACGGGAACAGCCACTAACCTTTTAGTAGAATCCTTACAAATTAGTAAAGACCACTGTCAGAAAATAATATGTACAAAGTAAATACTGTGATTAAAATTATTTTAGAAGTTTTCCTAGATCTACAATTTTGTTTAAACTGAAAAGCTTTGTTACATTCCAAGGCTGTGGTAAAACCATAACAGAAATTTTTTTTTTTTCTTAGAATGGTCTATGACTCAGGGCTGCATTTTGTAAGCAGAGTGTACTTACCTCCAAAGTCACAGCTCTCAGGATCTCTGGACTAGAATTACACAATGCTCCCACAAGCACCCCTCCAGCACTGAAAGCAGTCAGGGTTGTTAGACTTGGCTGAGAAAAGCCTTGGCCATGAAGCGTCTTAATGCAAGCCTCTAAGTCAGCAAGGCCATTGAGTTTTTTAGTTAGTCGGCCGTCAGCATGCCACTGGAGGCCCAACTCACCACCACCCCTGAAATTAAAGGGCGAAAAAAATTTTAGTAGAAAAAAAAATGATACAGATGTAGGTAGAGGTCAGCAAATTATGATTGAAAGCCCGTTTTTATTTATTTTTTTTAATGGATCTCCAGCTAAGAACTGTTTCTACATTTTTAAAGGCTAGGGAGAAAACAAGGAGGATGTAACAGAGGTAGTGTGCAGCCTGTGAAGCCTAAAATGATTACTATGCAGTTTTTTTTGGTGTGTGTGGTTCTGGGGATCAAGTGGAGGAACCTGGTTATCCTCTAACATTTAGCTATGTTCCCATGTCACTACCTAGTTCTTCAGAGAAAAAACTTAATAACCTCTAACATGGACAACAAAAGACTGATCCAATAAATAAGTTTTGAGTGCCTGTCTACTACTTATCAGAGGTTGTCTAAGTGCCTGCCAACCTTATAAATATAAACTAGAAAACATCCCCACGGAGATCAAATTTTGTGAAGAAAAAGTTACTACAAGCATTGTGGTCACTGCTGTAACAGTGTACTTAGGTATCACAGAGCAGAAGAAAGAACCTTAGGAGTAATGTGAAAGAAGAATATGAGTTTTTAGAAAGACCTCAAGACAGAAAAGATACAACATGTAGAAGGGCAAGGAGGTGGCAGAGCATGTAATTTGAAAGGACATGATAGATGCCGCTAGAGATAAGCCAAATCATTGACAGCATTAAACTGAGGAATCTGGACGTTGTTCTGGAGATGAAGTGGGAAGGACTTTTAGCAGAAAAAAAATTATATTTGTGTTATATGGTGGTATATGCCTGTAATCCTACTGATTCAGGAGGCTAAAGCAGGAGCATCACAAGCTCAAAGTCAGTCGCAGCATCTAGTGAGGCCTTAATTTGATGAGACCTTCTCTAAATAAATAAATAGGGATGGAGATATGGCTCAGTGGTTAAGTGTCCGTAGGTTTAATCCTTGGTATCAAATTTTATATATATATATACACACACACACACACACACACACACACACACACACACACACGTAATATATTTTTGTCTTGAATACAACTAAAATAAAATGGAAGTTAGATTGGAAAAGTCTGGTATACAAGGCTGTTTAAGAAAAACCTAAACTCCAGGAAATCAGATGGAAATAATAATGTAACCATGTATAGAGACTGATACATATATTCAAGAATCCCCAAAGTCTATCCTTTTGCTCTTTGGTTCATATAATCTGTTACTGAATCAAATTCTATGGAACACAGGATTTAGGAGTATATATAACTAACACTACAAAAGAGAAAGTTTTTGCTCCCCAATATATTGTTATTTTAGATATGTTACCACGTTTGGAACTCTCATGCTAGGTGTGCTGACTCACCTAACATGGCAATATGCTAATATCCATCCATCATCTACCAAGACCCTCCTCTCAGGTCTGAAATTCATTTTCAAATCCATTCCATAAGCTCCATATACATGTACCAGGAGAGGTTTCTTCTGTAAATCTTCAGAGTCCGTTTTGTGGAAAATAGTCATTGGCACTAATTTTCCATCCTGGAAATAAAGAATAACTATATATATAAAGAAGCGACTTTTAAAGCAGTGTTACCCCTACTTTAAAATAAGCTGAAATGTACTTTCACCTCCTTATGTGCTATTTATTGGTGTTGAATATAAAATTTATTTAAAATAAGAAGAGTTATGATCTCTAAAAATATATCACAGTTCTTGGTTTCAATAGCCTGACCTACTGTATTAACTAGAAAAGAACAGCAAGACTGGTTTGAAAACCTTTTATTAAACACAGCTTTCTATAACAGTGAAGTGACTTTTTAAAAGCGTTCTTTATTACTTAATATTACTGTAATTTCTTTCTTTCAGAGCAAGCCAAAATACCTATTAAGTTTGGAAATCCTAGTACAAAATTCTTCCTATGCCTAAGGAATTTCTCATCTTTGCATATTTACAAATAAGGTGACCAAAAGTCTTTATAAATTTCCCATCCTCTATGAGCATAATTCTAAACCATTAGAACTGACACTACTGACAGCCACTCACATCCTCTTCAAATCCCTATTTATCTTTATTTAAAAAAAAATTAAGGGCTTAAAGTAAATTTCATAAAATTTAACAGTTAAGCAGCTTTTAGATCATCTAATATTCCCCTATGTAGCTTAACTCATCAACCCCAGATGCCATAACCCTTTGGGCAGAAATAATGCAAATAATGGAATTACTTTTGATTTTCCTCATAAAAAAGGACGGAGAAGGGCTGGGGCTGTAACTCAGTGGTAGAGTGCTTGCCTAGCACCTGTGAGGCACTGGGTTCGATCCTCAGCAACACATAAGATAAAATAAAGGTGTAAAATAAGGGAATAGATACAATAACTACCCTATTGAAGTGTGCAGTACTTTATTTGATAAGCTAATACAATCACAGAAGAAAAATGCAAAAAAATATTAATAGAAAAGCATGAATTTCCATATGAAAAATAATATAACCAAGTCATTTTCCCTATTTTTTTCATCTTCATTTTGAAAACTTCAATGTTGGGCAATAAATAGAGTGTCATCAAATTGACAGGAAATCTCATTCAGACTACTATTCACTTGTGACAGCCCAAGTGAATTTTCACTCTTCAGTAAAATTCATTCTTATAAATCTTTTTTTTGTGTGTGTGTGTGTACCGGGGATTGAACTCAGGGCACTTAATCACTGAGCCACATTCTCAGCCCTTTTTTGTATTTCATTTTAGAGGCAGGGTCTAACTGAGCTGCTTAGCGCCTTGTTGCCAAGGCTGGCTTTGAACTCTCAATCCTCCTGCCTCAGCCTCTGGAGCTGCTGAGATTACAGGTGTGTGTCACCACGCTTGGCTGTATTGTAAATCTTGATATAGACTAATTTGTAAAAACAAAAAACAAAACAGAACAAAAAATCTTGGTCTTTCCATCCCTCTGCCTTTTCCACAACTTCAATAATATAATCAGAAAAAATTGCTGATTGAGAACTTGTGAAAAGGAAGAGATAAAAATAGTAGGTAGTCCCTGTCATGGGCTGGATCCCAGAATTGATCAGCAGCACATGAAATGCCCGTGGAAAGGAATGGAACCTTCCATTTAGCACTGCTTCTCCCCTAATGCCTGAAGAAACCCTTGACTCTACAAGAACTTAGGTTAACTGTTCTTTCCATCTGGGGTAATTAACAACATTTTGGTAGACTGCTATAATCTCATATTTGTAAAAGTAAACAAAACCTAAAAGTATTTATCTTGATGACACACAAACCAACCAAAAAACAACTGAAGGCATTTAACTAAATGGTTAACAACAATTTTTTCTAAGAAATGCAGCAAATGGGACTGAAAAGTAGTAATGCAAAAACTGCACATTCTGTATTTTGCATTTATTCTAACAATATTTTGCTTTTGCAATTTGAAAATAAGATTAAAATTGCTTAAAGTATTAAAAGAAAACAATGGACTAAAGAAAAAAATTCATAAGGAAAAAAGGTCTGTTACAATTTATTCTTTGTTAGAATACATGAAATTACTTGAAATATGATATGCCATGGTCTGAAAATTCCTTAAATTCAAAGTCAGTTTATAATTTCATCAATTTGTAAATTCTGTATTTTGCCTATACCTTGAATATGGATATTTGTTATTTCCTTTTTTTCCCTCTTTTGGCATTATAGATAGAACCCAGGGCATTCCATTAGTGAGCTACTTCTCCAGCCTTTATAATGTGAAGCATTATATTGCCAAGGTTGGCCTCAAATTTGCAGTCCTCTAGCTTTAGCCCGAGTAGCTGGGATTATAGGAATGTGTTGCCCTGCTTCTTATTTCCTTTTAAATTTCTTCTCTCTCTCTAGTGCTGTCCTTAGTAATCTTTTTTCCTCTATTCTGGCTTTTCTATCCTCCTTTATACTTCTTTTTGTGTGTGCTACTGGGGATTAAACCCAGGAAGTGCTATGCCATAGATCTATATCTCCAATTCTTTTTATGTTTTATTTTGAGACAGAGTCTTGCTGACTTGCTCAGGTTGGCCTTGAACATGATTCTCCTGCCTTGGCCTCCCAAATAGCTGGGATTACAGGTATGTATCATAATATCCAGTCTACACTTCTTTCGTTTTTTTTTTTTTACACTTCTTGAATTGTATCATTTCTCCACACACTCTGCGCTTTACAGAAAATGAGATCTTTTGCCCCTTTCTAGCTTACTTAGTCATCCTAGAAGTCTTTGTCTGGGACAATATTCCTCAGAGAAGGCTTTCCTGATCTCTGCAAACTAGCTAATTGCCCTTAGCTATAAGATTTCACTGCATTCAGTACATTTCCTTTGCAGCAATCAGTTTTATTAGTAATTATTTACTCAACCTCTGGCATCTTCCTTGTTACATTTAAGTTCCATGAAATGCCCATGGAAAGGAATGGCACCTTCCTTTTAGCACTGTTTCTCCTCTAGCAGCAACTATATTTATCTAGTTCACCCCAGTCAGCTGCTGCCATACCTTCATAATTAATGCCATAACTGCAAACCAACCTTATTTACTTAACTTAAACTTTTTCTTTAACTCAACTTTTTAAATTCAAACAAAAACAACACTTGAGATAAAGGGTTTAACATGCTACCAATAAACTTTTTAATCCATGTTAAAATAAAGACATGAGCATTAAAGTTAAAAAACAATCTACATATTCCCTAAAATCATTTGAGCCTTACTGTGGTTGAAAAGATCAATTGGTGTTGATGTAATTCCAGAAACTGCACAGTATGCTTTTAATAAAGAGGAGCTGAAAGTTGATTCTAAAAGACCTACCTTGCTTTTGGCTTCTAGACGTAAAACACGACTAGTCTTTGTAATTGGGTCCTCATGCCCAGTTTCCTCAAACAGTTTGCCTTCTGCAAACTTATATGTGTAATATTTTGGGGGTCTTATTGGAGAGCAGAGTTGAAAGGGGCAGTTCTTTGGGTCAGAATTTGTATCCATGATGAATCCACAGGCCCAAGGAGGGAGCTAAAGGAATAAAACAGTTATTTTCACTCTATTTCTATACTAAGTATCACTAATTAAGTTTCTGAGTCAGCCTCAAACAAGATGTGGACATCTACTTTACTTTCTGTCACCACATGTTTCATTTAAGAATTACATCACCACAACAAAATATGTTTCAAGTAAAAATCAATATTCTATATTAATGACCAATAAAATAAGGAAAAATTATAGGAAAGGTTTATCATGATTCTAGATTTACGAGAAATCTCTTTTAACACAGAAGTTTATTTGGGGATGTAAAATGGGGCAGTAAAATAGCAGAATGATTAAGAATTAAGAGCAAATGAAACAGTAATTCCAGAACCCAGCAATAGTCATTCTCATAGAATACAAAATCCCTCACAGGTGTGTTTTGCATAATTTTCCACCAGTCCTTAGCCTGCTGCCTGGACAGCCCAGCGATGACAGTTATTATTCCAGGGCTACAAACGGGCTCAGCAGCCCTAAAGCATTTACAATTTGTTTCTAACTTTAGCTTCCAGGCTAACCATTGTGCAGAACAAAACCTTTCCACGCACATCTACTCTGAGAGACTCACAGCTATTATGCTTAAGATTCTTAACTTTAAGAAAAAAGGAAAGGAATCAAAATTTATTCTCTTGGATCAGCAGGGTCCAGCTTCAAGCCTTCCACTAACATTCCACTTACACCTTTTAAAGAACTCTGGTAAGCAGGTTGACGGAGTGTTAGAAAAGGTACTAAGAGTCAGAACGTTAAAAGAAAATTGCCTTTCTTTTCCTGAGTAATTGTAGAAAGAGCAAATTCCTTAGAAAATCAGAGGTCTTGGCACAGCAACATCACTGGCAGGCATTACTGAAAAAGGGTAGATGGGGGATGTGTGAATAAAAAGCACACTATTTAACCTGCAGAATCTATACATGAAGAATTTATGTTCACCAAGCAAATTTCTTCTAATTAATTCAAAGAATCTATTTGTGAAACATTACTAAGTACATGCATTTGCAATGTCTAAAAGTTCCTGACTTATCCCCTTAGATTGAGGATTACAGAAAAAAGCAATACTGCAAATGTCATAAACAGGCATCAGAGTGACGGTACAAGGTTCCTTAGTCCACAGAAACACAAGGTTTTCTGTTTCTGGTGGGACTTTAGGACCATTTCCATATGATTCGTGTATTAAGCTGTCTTAGTTTTAAACTAAGCTGTGTATTAAGCTGTCTTAGTTTTAGACTAATTGGCACCAAGATTATAATTCTAATCATGACCAAAACTGCTCCAATGGACTTTATAAAGTTTGACCAGATAATACAAAAGTAAGTCTTAACTACCACTAGCCTACTGAGATAAGCCTGCAGTGAATCTGTTTATATTAATAGACAGCACCCAAATATATGTTGGCCAGGTGATAGGCAGACATTCCATATATATCTGACAGAAACAAGTTTGTTTCTAGCACTCTTACAGCATTTAATTCGAAGAATTCTTCAGACATAACATGCTGAAAGAAAATCAGCCTGGGTATGTGGGCTCCTCTTCCAAATAAAACTGATGTTAGTACAATATAAAAAAAATTCCCAATTTAAATTATATATAACCAACTGCCTAATGTAACTTCTTTTTGTGGAAAAAAAAAATGCAACCAGAAAACACTGGTAATATAATAAACAAGGACAGAAAGCAACAAAAGATGGGTTTACATTTCCATTCAGTGGCAGAAACACAGGGCACATAACCACTGCCTTACTAAGGATATGGGACTTGGGAGCAGAAGTCAGTGGCTGGGCACTGAGTTATTGCTATACTTACAGTTGTGAAGATATCTTATAGAAATATGGAGAAAGAGAAATATAATGACACTTAACTACTTCTGAAGTCCATACTGATAGGCAGTATTTTAAGTAAAACTGCATTAAAAGCAAGGTCCTCCAAATAATTCTAGAATAAACCTGATAAATATCCAGTATACAGAATTCCTTTTAAGAAAAAGGACATGATATTATTCAAAATCTGATAATCTGTTAAGCTAAATGTATATGTATTTTGGTTAACACTACTGTCTTTTGAAAATAAGACATACCTTCAGAGACCGCACTGAATCATCAGCCAGACCAATCACATTAACATAAAGCAGATTGCTGTGCTTCAAGAATAGAACACAGTGATCCTTAAACATGTCCAAGTCTACAACTTTTGTATTTCTCTTCATTGTGAAAAACAAATCCCAATTCATAATAGCAGGGGTATCAGCTGCTGTTCTCATTAGCTGTGCGGAACAAGAAAAAAAACCTAGGTAACAAAACATGAAGGATATAGCATCCAAAGATGAAAGCTAGACCATACCAGTTGTCACTATTTTATGAAAAGCAGAAGAAATTAGCTCTGCATCAGGAATGAAGTGTGAACTTCATCCTGGGAATAAGACCAGGCTAGCCTGCTAAGGTGGTGAGACCTAGTGCATATGGCAGTGCTTAGCTGACAGCCAAGCAGCAGACATTTAGGTAAGGGCACCGATAAACCAGTGGATTATGGATGCATCGATGAGTCTAGTGGAGCACAATCCCAATGGCCAACTTGAAAATCTTGAGCTTATAAATTTGCTCTCTTAAGCCACTTAGGTTTAGCTTTGATAACATAATCAGTGTAGAATGTTTCACTTACTAACCTTTTGGGATCAATTAAAATACATAGAGGCACTGATGCTAAGGGAATAGAAATGGGATTGGTAATGTATAGGGAGGCAGCATTAATTTCTAAACTTTTGTAACAAGTCAACAAAACAATCATATAACTCTTACAGCAAGAACTGTTGAGGGAAGTGTCACACTTAACAGTCCGAGAGGAGACAAGTCAGAATCTAGAATTACCTTGAATTCTGTAGGCTCTCCAACATTAGTGAGAATGTATAATTCATCATCTCTGTGTTCAACATAGTAAAGGACCCCATGTATTCGCTTCTGGATAAGTACTGGTGGGTCCCAAGGGCTCAGGCCATCTATCAACCACACTTCAGAAGTGGTCTTGTTCATAATATTTATGGTAAGGAAACGACTATCCTTTGTAAGATAAAGGAAAACAAAATAGCTAGAGAGAGAGTGAGAGAGAGACAGAGAGAGAGAGGAGAGAGCTCAGTAAATTTCAAATGGGTGCTATCTTACTATTTCATATACATATTATTTATGATTCATATATTTTTTAGATGAACACAATCCTTTTATTATATTTTTTCCTGTGTTGCTGAGGATTGAACCCAGTGACTCACATATGCTAGGAGAGCATTCTATCACTGAGCTACAACCCCAGTCCTATACATGTTACTTATAATGCAGATAGAAAGATTTTAAAATTCCTTAGTGAATACTGATTACAAATTTAAAAATTGGCTATTATTTTTCACATTCTCCTCCCAAAGCCATTCAAAATTATCTTTTTATCATAAATGTTTTTCAAACAGAGAAGTTGCTAAAAGAACTGTAGAGAAAATACCCATTGCTAACATTTTCCTTTATCACCTTTCTATGTATTCATTAATCCATCTTTATTTGGATGCATGGTAAGGCAAACTATACACTTCATCTTTCAACGACATTAATAGATTCTAGGGTTTTCTGCTGAGAAAAGGAAATAAACTTTCTAGAGGAGATATGAAATAGGGAAGAAAAGAGGCGGAATGTATCCTTATTTTGTATTTTCTCTGTATCTTAGATTTCTTTTTTTTACTCTTCTAATTTTTATAACATAATAAAACATCAGGAAGAAAAATCCTCACAAACTCACTAACATAATACATTTAAAAACTTAACAGAACTTATGTTTTCCATTTTTCCTTTTAAGGTTTATTTATATTTCATGGATGTCTTTTTTATTAATTTTTTCAATATTTATTTTTCAGTTCTCAGCGGACACAACATCTTTTGTTTGTATGTGGTGCTGAGGATTGAACCTGGGCCGCACAAATGCCAGGCGAGTGCGCTACCGCTTGAGCCACATCCCAGCCCGCATGGATGTCTTTAAACAGATAAAATTATACTACAGATGTAAGTTTTGATTCTGCATTTATTTCATATAATGTTGCTACTTCCCCCTACACTTAAATATTTATGATTACTATTATTAATGTCTAATATTCTACCAGGTTGAATCTTAATATTCATGAATATCCTTTCCTCTTCTCTGGCATTTACAATTATTTCCTTAGTATCCCTTTTTAGGAACTGAAATACTAATTTAATGATGAGTATTTTTATGATTTATAAATATACCAAAAATTAAGGGCATTATTCTATTTCATACTGGTACACTAGATGGCTTTAAATGTTATGTTTACATTTTTCCTTATTATAAAAACAGTCTAGGTCTAGGGTTGTGGCTCAGTGGTAGAGAGCTTACCTAACACATGTGAGGCCCTGGGTTTGATCCTCAGCACCACATATACAATAAAATAAAGGTATTGTGTCCACCTACAATTAAATATATATATATATATTAAAAAAGCAGTTTATACTGAAATATTGAAAAAGGTAAAGGACAATGATAATTCTGAAGCCCACTCCAGAAATAAGCCCTACTTATATTTTGGTAAAATTTCTTCTGTATTGTGTTATATTTTCATGTTTTGGTCAACCGTATTTCTTTTGTGCAATGTCTGTGTCCACATTAAATTTGAGATGTAGTTTAAATTATTGGTATGAAGGGCTGGGGATATAACTCAGTTGGTAGAGTGCTTGCCTCACACGCACAAGGCCCTGGGTTCAATCCCTAACAACACACACACACACACACACACACACACACACACACAAAATTGGTATGTAAACACATACCAATATGTATATAAATTTATCTTCATAAATTAAGGATAGGAACATATTTTTGATAAAAATGCTTTCCTCCATTTTGTTGTCTAGATTTTTAAAATTACGGCATTTAATATTTTAGGTAGGCAAGGATATTGGCACTATGCATTCTAATTTATTCAGTGATTTTATGCTTTGGAAATATTTCAATCAATGTTGAGTAAAATACTTATATTTCCATCTCTTTCTTTTGGGGGAGTTTCTTTTTTTCAGTAGCCTTTTTAAATATCTTAACAATATATACCAACATGATGAAAATTATTTTGTCCCAAATAGTCAATATTTCCCACAGCATCACAAAATAGTAACTATTTTCATTAGTCTGTCTCTTTTCTTATCTAAGTTTTCATACATACAAAGGTCCATTTTAGAGTTATACTCTAGACTGTTATTTGTCTGACAATTTGTATTACCTTAGTTGTTGTAGTTTCATATGTTTTAGTGTAGGATTGTAGGGCAAGTCCCCTACCATACTTTGCTTTCTATTGCCAACACTTGTTATTTTTATCTATTTTATTTGATTGTTTTGTGATGATAAGTCAAAGCACAAATTACTTGGTAGACATTTAGTTATAGGAAAGTGAGAATACAAGTGGCTCTGTAGTAAAATGTTTCTTAGAAAAAGGAGACAAAGAACCTGAAGGACTAGAGCCTACTCCTTTTTCCCCATTTACTTCTATTGATACGTTTATTTTCCCAAATTGTTTCAAAAATAATAATGGTTATGATGAAAGATAAGAACAATAGAAAAAAGACCCTTTGTTAGTACTTTGATATATTTTCTTTTAATTTTTTTTAAAAAGATGGATTTTTTTTTTCCTTTTAAAATTTAAAAATTTTCAATATATAGCTGGGTATGGTGGCGCATGCCTGTAATCTCAGTGGTTTGGGAGGCTGGGACAGATGAATCACTTCAAAGCCAGCCTCAGCAAAATCAAGGCATTAGTATGAGTTGCTTAGTGAGACCCTGTCGCTAAATAAAATACAAAATAGGGCTGGGGATGTGGCTCAGTGGTTGAGTGCCCCAGAGTTCAATCCCTGATACCAACAAAACAAAACAAAATTATGTAACAATTTCCAAAATTTCAAATTTCAATAATTAAATTTCTTTTTTCTTATTATTAATTGTAGAGGCAGACATTATGCTTGCATGTATAGCAAACTCCAATTTCTCATTGTGCAATATTATTTGGATATATAAGTGGTGAGTTTGAAATGATTTGCGTGGATTTTTTTTATACTAAGTTTAAGACTTTTTTATACCTTTGTTTATATATATACAAACAAATATATATGATTTTTATGTGGTGCCAGGGATTGAACCTAGTGCCTCATGTATACTAGGCAAGCACTTTACCACTGTGCCATAACTGTGGCCCTTGCATGGATTTTTAAAATTGCATAAATATTTAAAGAGATGTATACTCAAAAGGACGAAAGAGACCTGGAATCAAGAACTAAATCTTGGAAGACATTTGAAATTAATATATAAATGTCATTTTCAAATCTTAAAGCATCCAAGTAAACCATCACAATATGTAGAAATTGAGCAAGAGATGGTTTGCCCAAGCTCAATCATATAATCAGCATGTAGAGAAGTAAGCCTAGAACCCCCCTTGCTAGACATTCTAAGTCAATTACCTTTCTTACCTAAAGATTTAGCTTCTTTCTACCACAAAGGAAGAGCAGGAATGAACACTTAGCAGGTGCCTGTTTTGCTGCTTACCAGCTGCACAATTCTAGGTTATCTTTAACTATCTGGATTTCAACATACTAATTTCTAAGAACGTTACAGATGTATTTTTAAAATTCCTCATGAACTATCTAAAATGTCAAGTTTTGGAATGGCATGCAAGGTTACTCTGAGCCTGCTTCACTGGGATTTTTGGCATTTGGATACCCAGAGGCTTCAGAGACCTGGCCACTTCCTGTGCTTTTCTAATTTAGCCCTGTTCCTGGTTCCTTGTACCATGAATAGCATTCATACTAGAAAAAACAATTTTTGAGGCCTGGGGAAAAATGGTTATTTTTCAGTGACTTAAAAAATCAGGTCCTCAGGGCTGGGATTGTGGTTCAGCGGTAGAGCACTGTCCAGCACATGTGAGTGAGGCTCTGGGTTCAATCCTCAGCATCACATTAAAAAAAATAAATAAACAAAATAAAGATATTGAGTCCAACTACTTCTAAAAAATAAATATAAAAAAATATTAAAAAATTAGGTCCTTTAATTCTGTCTAGATCCTTCCCTTTAGAATCTAAATGGTTCTCTCCTTAGAATATGAAAATTATATGGCTCTGGAAATATTTGAAAATAGAAGCGTTAACATTCAAAATGCACCAATCTTTAGGAATATATTAACGGGCATTCTGCCTGAACATGATTTTTAGAGACACTCTACCACCAAAATAAAATAAAATAAAATAAAATATTTTTGAACAAATCTACTGAAGTACTAGAAACAAATATGATAAAGAACCCATCTGGCAGAGGTTTTTTTCTAGTCACATGTGCAATAACTTTTTAAAAAACAGGCAGCCAGGGGCTGGGGTTATGGCTCAGCAGTAAAGCGCTTGCCTTGCACATGCAAGGCCCTGGGTTCAATCCTCTGCACCACAGAAAAATAAATTAAAAAAAATAAATAAAATGTATATATAAAAAATAATATACTCACAAACAAACAAAACAGGCAGCCAAATCTGGGCTAGCAGGGGCAGATAAAATGCAATGATAAAGTCAGTTTGGCACACTATCTATAGATTAGTTCTATGGCTCTACTAATGTTATAATGTAAGTTTTGGGAATCAATTTTACCATCATAGATTTGTTGAAGTTAAATTACATTTTTTTTTCCTCTAAAAAATTTATTCAGAAATTGTCCAACCTACACTGTTAAATGATGTACGAGGTCTACCATGTATTTGTGTTTGAAGATAACCAGTCTCTGATTTTGAACATAAACAATTAATAAAAGAATGATCACCATAGCCTTATTATGCAAAAATTAACATTTCAAGTCAACCAACACCAGTACTTCTGTAACTGAAAAACCATTCTGGAGAAAAAGACTTAACTGCATTTTAGTACCTTGGGTCTTTTTCTGTGTAAAAACGTTCATTACGTTTGTTATCACCAAAAGTGGCTCGATATACATCATGACATCGAAGATTCCTCTGGAAGGTGTAGAATAAAACATCTTCATCTTCTTCGTCCTTCACCCATTCTGAAAGAAAATAATTAAAAGAATAAGATGTAGTTACCTACATACAGGAAAAAAGAAAATACAAAAAGCATGGTCCATTCTAGTTTTGAGTACCAAAGAGAAAAGATGTGCAAGTATGTATCCCTAGAAATCAAAATAGAACATAGGCTTGACTGTACCAGCCTGTGTTATATATGAGCCCGAGTGTTTTCCAGGAAATAAAACACTACTCTATTGATTTTAAGTTTTCAAGTAGTTTAGTCTCATGCTATTTAAGTTTCTAAATAAGATCTAATGTTCAACATTTAGGAAAGAGACTGATAAAATCACATTTGCTTTCAGAGATGAATTATGTTTAAATTTATAATTTTAAGTCAGAAAATATTGGATCACTTTATGACATGCCTCAATCTCTTCTGTGTTGTTTTAAGCCTTAGAACATCTCCAACTATTAAACACATTTGAATGATGGTTCTTCAGAACCTGTCAATGGAAGTCTGCACACAATTACATCATGATTGCCACCTGGCTGATAGTGATTATAAGTCATCATATAGTATGCATCCTGATTTTAGAGGTTAAAATACACAAAATATATGTTTTAGAATCCATGTCATAGGGTATAATTTCAATTCACTGCAAAGTCATTTAGTAAAACAACGGGGAAAATGAAGGCAATGAAAAGGGAGGACAAAGTATCAATATATCTACCACTAAACTAAAAGATGATTTTATTATTAAAAATGTCACAGCTTCCACTTATAAATCAGTTAGTTCAACATGTTCCAAAGCTCCTTAGTGGTGACTCTGGCCATCTGCTGCAATACTATTGCTTTATGAGACAACATAAAATTAAAAAAAAAAAAAAAAAAAAAAGAAATCCACACTTAAAGTTGAATAAAATGTTAAAATGCAAAGATTTATTCTACATAATAAACTGGCAAAGAATTATTAATATATCAAAATATACTATACAACTAAGACTTTGACTTTAACTCTTAAAAATATGAGCATAGGGGCTGTAGCTGTGGCTCAGCAGTAGAGCGATCACCTAGCTCATGGATTTCCTATGGACACAGGGACACACACACATACGGTTAAAAAGCATAGTCAATTCTCTCACTTTTGCCTTTTCAACCCAGACCATTTGGTTGGTGGCTTACCAAAACTGGACACATTTGGGAAAGAAGCTTCCATTACTGGCTGATCACTAAGCTTCACAACCACACAGGTGGATGCTTCAGAATCCTCTGTCCTTATCTTGGCAGCTACATATTTCTCATCCGGAGCAACTCTGATACAATCAATGAAGGGCTGGTCTAATTTAAGTTCCTCCAAATTGAATAAAACTTCATAATTATCATTGTCTGCTGCATAAAGAAAAGTATGAAAGAAATAACTACAAGATGTATTTTAATAGAATTTTAAATTGTATTTTAACTTTTTAAATTAACATTTCCTTTTTGAAAATTAAAAAAAAATTTTTAGTTGTTGATAAACCTTTATTTTATTTATTTATATGCAGTCCTGAGACTCAAACCAGTGCCTCACACATGCTAGGCATGCGCTCTACCACTGAGATACAACTCCAGCCCTATTTTTTTTAACCATTTCCCTTGTTTAAGAGGCCATATTTTAGTTTCCTTCAACAATGATGACAGTCTGACTGATACATAAACTAGCATTGGTTATTTTATAATACCTTGTGCTACTGACAATTATTCTATGTATCAACCTAGTAATTAGAGACCATATAGAATTTGGAGAGTTAGACAATGCAAATCTAGTATAGAATCTGTCCATAGTACATAGTCAAAAAATGCTAGAACCCATCCCCATTCATTCTGCCAAAGCTTTTGAGTATAACTGTTAACAATATCCTAAGAAAACCCCAAATTAAAAACTAGTTATTTAAAAAAAATTCAAAAAATTATTTTTTATACCTTTGAGAAATTAAACTTACTATAAAAATATAAAATATGAAAAATCAGAACACATTAATGGGAAAAAAATGTGCTGTACCTTCTTCATCTTTGGAACGAACCAAGCAGCAACCTTCCTGGTAATAAACAAAACCACCATGTTTCACCTGACAATGAAAAGAAACAAATGTTTTACTTAATAACAATTTAATTAACCTTTTAATGTTCTTTTTATCCAAGATGAAGTTAAAAAAAGCAGATCTGTTGAAGTACATGAGTGAACAGATATGAAATTGAAAATGGACCACTTTTTACAATATACTTGGTAAGATATGATTTTCATATATGTTCAGAATCACTGAAGGGGTTTCTAATACTTAAATATAAGAGGAAATTCAAGGCATATAACAAAATCTGTTGGTTCTCATGATTGTATAAATATTTTAGCTTTTGAAACATCTGGTATCTGCATGGTAGGATCTATTAATGAAAATCAAATGGCTTCTTCAAAATAATCCAAAATGATGCAGATGAGAAAACTATCTTGGATTAGCTTGAAAACCCAGCTGATAACTTTCTGAGGTTCTTCCCTTTAAAATATGCAGTTCTTCCCTTTAAAATATCACCAATTGTGCAGTTTTGACTTGATTTTATAGAATATCTTGTCCTCTGTGGGGGTGAGAGAGTCTAAGACTGAGAAAATAAATACTACTAACATGAACACTATTCCTTCATAGTAAGTGCAATTTATTGATATGATTTCAGATGGCTTCACATTGTCTGCTAGTTAATGGCATAATCTGAATCAGAAATTTCTACAGCTATTCTACAACATATGTCATTTTCATTTATAATCTGTGACTTTTCAATCAAACTGAAAAAATTTCAACCTCTTGTTCAGTCTATTTCATTTGCATATTTGTGATTGCTAACCATAAAGTGGTTAGCTTTCATAGTACTATATTAAAGTAAATTTCCTTTTGTTAAAAAAAAAAAAAACAAAACAGAGCAAGCAAATACTTTCCAAATAATAAATAGGAATTAGTATCATTTGAACTTTCTTTTGAATCTTTTAAAAGTTTTAAATCAGAATTGGTTGTTCCCCAAAAAGCAGAATATATTACATTTCAAAATTTATCTTAGTTTTGATATTTACATTCATTTTAAGGATCATACTCTACTTACTTACTTTTTGTTCTTTAAATTTTCAGCATATTTTGAAGTCCAAAAGTGGTATACTTTTAACATAAGGTTATGTCTATATCACAAAATATCTTATTTGCAACTTAACTGGTTATATCAGAGTTTTCTTAAAAAAGTATGAAATATCCTACCTCTGCATTGATGATTTCATATTCTTCTTGTGGTTGTGTTTCTAGTTTTGTTCTCACTTTTTCAAATGCATCCATGTTTTCTGAAAGGGATTTTTCGTTTTCTTGTTTAATAGGCAGACGATCCTAGAAAAAGTTTTATTGGTATGATAAAAATATTTCAAATTAGAGGGAAGAAACCCTTTCTTTTAAAAGAGAATCACTGTTTCTTTTTTTCATGCAAGTATCACAATGTTAGGTCCATACTTATGAAATACTGGGTTTTACTGGTCTATACATAAGAAATAACATGTTTCACAGATCTTAAACATTCTTTCTTAAGCTCATCAATAAAAAGACCTTTTTCATTTAAAAATGTCAACAAAATAAGACAGACAATAGTTATACTGTTATTTTAAATGGATAAGTACTTCAGGTACAGAACTAAGAAATTCTGGAAAATGTTCTGAAGTATTAGGGGAAAGTCATATACAATTAAAGAGGAAAGAAAATTTTTATGAACTTTTACATGTGTAATAGAAATGAGAAGAAAAAAAGTTTGCTGAATTTTTTAAGTACTGAAATAACTCTTAAATAGAGGGAAATATATCAAAGAAAAAGGAAGACAAAAACACTAACCTGGGCTGGAAATATAGCTCAGTGGTAGAGCATTTGTTTAGCATGCATGAAGCCCCAAGTTAGTTCCCTGGCACCGAAAAAATTATGGTACAATTAATGGAAAGCTGGGGATCATGGTGCACACCTCTAATCTCAGTGACTTTGACTAAGGAGACAGAGGCAGGAGGATATCAAGTTCAAGGTCATCCTGGGCAACTTAGGTAGGTGCTTTCTCAAAATAAAAAATAGAAAGGGCTAGGGATATAGCTCAGTGGTAGAGCACCCTGGGTTCAATTCCCAATACTGCAAAAAACAGAAACAAAAACAGTAAAAGACAAATTAATGAATATGCTAGAAATAGAAGAAAGCTAAAAAAGCATTCAGTGTGTCTTGCTGGGAGTACCTAATTAAACCAAGAGCTTTAGTTGATCTCAGTGAGCAAATAAATATCGTAAGTCATTAAAATTTGGATAAGGCAAAACCTAAATTATCAAATTAAAAAAGTATTCTATTATTCAACATGTCTCCAGTTTGTTTTGTTTAAGCCAAAGAATTCTAGCCAAGATTTCTGACTTCAGCTCTCTGCCAAAGATGACAAGTGTATAGTGATTTGTGCCAGAGGAGGCACCAGTCTTTGGTAAGGCCCTCCAACAGCTGGTACATATTTACTGCACAAGTACATCCATGATACTTTATGAACACTGTCAAGAAGTAAGCTATAAATATAGTTTGTGTTACAATAATTTGTAATCTAAAATTAAACATAAGAATAAAACAGAAAAGTCACCAAAGCAGATTAAATGGAAAATAATCATTTTCATTAAGTATTTCCTTTTATATTTTTTTGGAATGCCTTAATGATATGGATTAGATTCAAAATTTCAATAATGGCTGTTACAGTAGTCAATTTATAATCTTTAACCTCTACTTCCAATCATACCATTAATTTTTTGAGTAATTATCTGAAGTACAAATGCTAAATGGCTTATTTTTAATTTATTTATTTTTTTTAGGATTTCTATAGTATCTATGGCTAATCTTTGAAGTAGTGAGGCAAAATATATCAATAATACCCTAATATCACCCAAAGAAACATTAAATCATTAATCATGAAGATTATGAAAAACCTGTCCTGAAACTAGCATAGCAATAGATTGAGTTGCCTTTTCAAATTCAGACATAGGCTTTTCTATTCTGTAATCCCTATGAGTTATTATGAAAGAGGAAGGATAGCTACAAAATGACCTCCCCTATTATCCTGCATCTTCTACCAAATTTTGGGTCATGGAGCTGGGTTTCATTACTTTACAGACCCATTCCTATCAAGATCCATGGCCAAAACAGAGCTAAAAGCAACAGAGTTGGGCTCCATATCTGTCCTCTTAAATTTACATTCCTGTTTAAGAGCAATTGTTAAATAAAGAAAAGCACTTGTTCCCTATATTCAATGCCTCCAATTCCTCTCCATTTACCCTTCTTACTCTGACTGCTCTTGTCAAGGTCACTGAATGGCCACATTGAAGACTGTAAAAGTCAATCTTCAGTACTCACATCATATTCATATTACTTGGCCTGTCAGCATGAAGACACCATTGACCACTTCCTCTTTCTAAAACACTCCTTTACTTGGCTTCCAAGACACCTTCCCTTTTACTTCACTGGTCCTTCTCAGTCTCCTTAGCTGGTTCCAACTCAACTCCTTGCCTTAAAATTGGCATGCTTAAGGCTCAGTTCCTGGATGACTTCTCTTTACACTAATTCCTTTGATGATCTCATCCAGTCATGACTTTAAATGCTATTTATAGCCTGCGGACTCCCAAATTTATAGCTGTAGTCTAAGCTTATCCCTGGAACAAGCTGAACTTGTATATCCAACTGACTATTCAACATTTTTACTTGGATATCTAACAGGTATATAAAAAAATATTGAAAATTGAACTTAGAAATCCTTATATATCCCCTCCCCACCAAAAAAAACCCTGTTGTCTAGGCAGTCAAATGACTAATATCTGGCTGGAGTTGTGGCTCAGTGGTAGAGCACTTGCCTTGCACATGTGAGACAGTGGGTTTAATCCTCAGCACCACATAGAAATAAATAAAATAAAGGTATTGTGTTCAACTCAAAATCCGTCCTTCTAGCTGCTCATGCTTTAAAGTCTTAGTTTGCCTTTGCCTTCTCTCTTCACATAACTAAGTGATCTGCTAAATCCTGTCAATTCTATGTTCAAGGTCTAAATCTGACCATTTCTTCTAACTTGTACTGGCACTATCCTGGTACTATCATCATCTCTTCTTTGGATTACTGCAAAGTTCTCTCTGCTTTTGCCCATGCCTCCCAGGCTATTTTCAAAAAGGAGCTCAAATGAGTATAAAATGAGGTTTTCTACTTAAAACCTTTCCAATGCTTCCCACCTTACTAAGAAGATACACAAGAATCCTTACAATGGTCTAATTTGCTGACCTTGGCTACTGTAAGTTGAGTATCCCTTATCCAAAACGCTTGTGATCCAAAGTGTTTTGGATTTAATAGTTTTTCAGATTTTGAAATATTTTCAGATTTTACCAGCTAAACATCCCTAATCTTAAAATCTTAAATGCTCCAAAAGATTTTTAAGTATTACAAATTTCTAGGATAGGGATGCTCAACCCGTATTATATATCAGTTGTATCCACTTAACTCCAAATGGGCCACAAAGGCTCCTTGATGTTTCCTGCACACACCAGGCTTGTTCCACCTCAGTTTCTAAGGATTTGCTTTGCCCTTTGGCCAAACACCTCTTTTAGCTATTGCTCAAAAGCCACTTTCTCAACTAGGCCTTCCCTGTTCTAATAAAAAAATCAACCCTCCCTATCCCCCCACTGTCTTATTTTTCACTGTACCTATTACCTTTGATAAACTTTGTATTTCACTCATATATTTCTTTACTATCTCCTTGTACCCTCATCCCCTTGTAGGCTCCATGAAGGCAGAGTTTTTGTCTATTTTTTTCACTGCTATATCCTCAAGGTCCAGAATGGTGCACATTAGGTGTTCAATAAATATGCGCTGAGTTGAATGGAACACAGCATAAAACATAAAATTTTAATCTTAAAATTTAACACAAAAATATAAAGTGCAAATACAAAATAGATATAGAGAAGATATCTACAGCTCACAGAAAAGACAAAGAACATATAAAGAACAATTATGAATCAGTAAGAAAAAGACAAAAAAACAGAAAAAAAATGGTCAAAGGCACGAATAAGTAATTCAGGAATATAAAACCAGCTGGGTGGTGGCACATGCCTGTAATCCCAGCAGCCCAGGAATCTGAGACAGAAGAATCATCAGTTCAAAGCCAGTCTCAGCAATGGTGAGGCACTAGGGCAACTCAGTGAGACTCTGTCCCTAAATAAAATAAAAAATAGGGTTGGCTCAGTGGTCAAGTGTCCCTGAGTTCAATCCTGGGTACCAAAACAAAACAAAAATCATAAAACCAATAATAACGTTAATAAGTGTTAGGAAGAAAAATGCTAACCTCATTATTAATCAGGGCAATGAAAATTAAACCACATTGATATATTAGTTATCTATAAGAAGGGCAAAAAAGAAAGATCTCATTATATCAAAAAGTTATCCAGTACACAGAATTAGAACTCTCACATATTTTACTTTGAATGTATGTTGGTACTATCAATTTGGAAATTAGCTTGACCAAAAATGTTAGAATGTGGACATAATCAGAAATTCCAATTCTAAGTATATTTTCTAGAGAAAGAAACATACATGCACAAGGTGATACACATAAGACTGTGATTTGCAGGATTTTTTGCTAAGTTTGGAAATTGGAAACAACCTACACCCATCCCCTGCCAAAGAATTATGGTATACAAACAACACAATCAAATACCATATAAAATTTGTAATGAATAATCTCAAAATCATAATTTTGAGCAAAGGAGCAAATTATATAATTCTACATATATTATTCAAATAAAATTTCAAAACATGTAAAACAATTTAAGTATTATCTGTGGATGCAAACACATGTGTAATTTATATGAAAACATGCATGGAAAGATTAAGAATAATGTTCACCATTGGGGAGGTAAAAGAACATGATCATGAAAATAGACAGTGTCTTCAAATTATATTTTTTGTAGTTAAGAAAAGTCATACTGAGTAGTGGATACATAGGATTTGTTGTGATATTTTTTATGATACTCTATGTTTGCAACTGTTTATACTAAAAGGTATTAAAAAGGAATGATACTATGAGTCAGATTAATTCAAGTCTGGTGAGACTACTAATTTTCTCACTTAATTTCAGACCCTTAGAAGTTTCAATTTCTCTTTTTTTTTTTAATTTAGGGGAAAAAAAACTACCCCAAACTCCCGACTTCCTAATTTGAAAACTTACACTAATTGGGATAGAACTGAAGAGTCCAGAAACACACTCATAGGTCAGCTGCTCTTTTCTTTGGTGGTGCTAGAGATTGAACCCATGCCTGGAGCATGCTAGGCAAGCGCTCTATCACTGAGCTACACC